CACTTTAGAAGGAGAAAACATGACTAAATATAGCACCTGATTTTGTCATTGCTTGAAAGTAGTACCAGCGATCTTGCTGCTCAGTGAGACTTTGTTGTCTTTGGGGAAGCTTGTGCTCAAGAGGGCACTTGTAGGATTTGCTTCTGAGCTGTTGGATTGGGTATCTGAGAGACTGGGTCGTGTCCAGATCTTTATGTGACCTTCTCTGCAAGCTGTAACGACTGATTCTTGAGTGAACATCAAGCCGGAGAGAGGCTCAGTGTGAACACGGTGAGCTATGACTGGCGAGAGCTTTGGAACATCGCGTTTGCAAGGAGCGGGTTGAAGAGCTCCCATTGGTATGACATTGTCCCAGTGAGCTGACTGGCTTCCCGTGCTGTAAGTAGGAGATCCTCCTGGAGCTCGCCTAAGTGGAACTACAATCTCGTCCATTTCGAGGTCCCAGAGGAGTAACTGTGTGTCCTGGAGATTCAGCAGAGGAAAGCAGTACAGTATATGAGAGAAAGGACTTGCAGATCATAATATAGAAGAATCAAGAGTCTGAAATCGTAGGAGTCTACGATTTTCTTTAGAAAGTTAAGTTAAGAACTAAGACTTTCAGGTACAGAGTTGTGGAAACTATCTGATCAGCTCTTCATATAACAAAACAATTAACTTTCTAACAAATTTCCACCTAGCAGACCAAAAATCTTTGTCTGTGATTTGGATAAATGCTACATAACAATGCTGTATCATCCAATGATCAATCCCTATAGAGAAACATTACAGAGATCAATACTACGATCTCCACTCAATTTTCGATCATCCTTTGTCGTCCTTACACTAGAATCATTCCAAGTATAAACACTGTTCAATGATAAAGATGATCAAAGCAATATAGAGAAGATAGGCACAACTCGCTTAACTGAAGCACATTTCAGTTATTCACTAAATGCAAAGGAGAACCAGAAGAATGGGTAAAGGCATGAAGAAATACCTGACCAACTGACCCAAACCGATACATGACATGCTCTCCTGACCCATCCGTATTTGGTGACGACCAATAGGAATCAAATGCTACTCCGCTTACCTGAGAGCAAGCATTCCAACATAAATCAAGTGATATTTGTGTTAAAGAAAAGAAATCAATGTACTAAAATTAAGAACCTTACCCACGAATTATGTCCCTCACCCCACGCAACAACCTTCCGATCCTCCATACTCCACACTTGAACCAAGTCATCCTCACCTCCAGTCAAAATGTACTTTCCATCCATACTGTCAATATGATCATGATATTAACAGAGTTGCATCATTCTGGGCTAATAGATATCTATTTAAGCAGGTTTTGTAAATCAAATTAAGTAAATCCAACGAAAAAGAAAAGAAAATTTGCCCAAGGAATTATGTCCAGTCACCTCCAAGAACAGCACAGCAGAGCACCATAATAACTTTTTCCACCACATACTAGCTTTTGGGTTGAGAAGTCAAAAATGCGAAGATAACCTGTAAAATGGTAAGAACAACTTAGTGCTTGATAAAAGAAACACATTGAGAAAGAAGGAGAGCCGCACTAAAGAACCGAGGCGCATTACCATCTCTTCCAACAGTTGCCAAGTGTGCCCCATCATTTGAGAATGCAATGCTGTTAATTGAACCTTGACAAATATGCCATCTCGCAACAGGATTACTCTACATGAATAGTCACGGGAATGAACAATGGTAATCCAAATATACTCAACGATAGGAAATAAAGCATGAATTTCTCATCCTAAGAATGCAATACAAAACTTTCTTAACACCACTAGCAACTGATAAGTTAATAATACTAGCAGAGGACAGGCGTGTATATAAGGATCTAATGAAAAGGTTGCAAACTCAAATACCTTGCTATATTTTGCTTTGTCAACTGAAAATTGTGTAGGATCTCTTATTGCAGGAAATGTTGAGTCAGTGGCACCATCTTTGTTCTATTAAGTTCAATTAATCAGGATCAGGAATTAGACAAAACCATGCAAATTATAAGTCATATGCAAGAAAATGTTTGCCAATATTTGAGCTTGCCTTTTCATACACATATAAATTGCCATCGGCATGAGCAACGACAAATGCTCCATCGCCTCCAGGCACCCAAGCAATACTAGTACAACGGCTGTGACAAAGCAACAAACTTTACTTTACTCTTAGAGATGACTTGACACCAAAATAAAATTAAGTTTCTTGTTCAAAAGGACTTCTGGCCAGATTTATGTTGCAACTAAACCAACTAAAACCATTCTCTTCTGAGATTACATCCTGTTCTGTAATGATTTGACTAACTACTGTCACTGAGAGTAGCCTAGAGCATACATCCATTACAACGACAGAAGATGAATTATCTAGACTTGTTTCATTGAAATTTTGAGAAAATACTTGCAGAAGTACAAACAATAAACACATACAGATCACACAAAACATATATGAACCACAGGAATCGATTCTTTAGATGGCACTACATATAATAGCACAATAAAAAGGTGGCAGGATAAAGTAAATTCCTCGAAAAAGTAAAACTCTTGCCTGTTATTCACAGAGCCGTCCTTATTATAATGCAGTGCACCAACTAGCTTCTTGGAGACATCCTGTAACTGCTGTCTCAGTGATACAGTGTACACTACAAGAACACACCAAAACAATAAAAACCCGAGACAAGGCATCTAGATCAGAGGTTAAAAAAAGCGAGCTCAAATTTCTACTTACCATCACCAGAATTCAGTCCAATAAGTAAATCATGTCCATCCTTAGCATCCGGATCAAAAGCATGGCACATAGGGTTTGAATTACTAAAATGGATAGACTTTACTGGATCCTACATCAAAGAAATTTCCTAAACCATTACATCCAAAAAAACCAGAACATTGCAGCTAAATCTTTAAAAGGAAAACAATGAATTAGCAGTAATTACCTTCTCTTGCGAGTTCAAGTCACAAATAAAAATAGCATCACCCACATTGAAGACCAAGTAAGTTCCTTTCCCATCGAAATTAGTATTTGTCATCGACGTGCTAGAATTAGAAGCAGCAAAGGAGCCACTAATTCTCGAACTCGTACTCACACTTTTGCCACCTCCATTACCTCCAACAAAATTAAGCGCACGGTTTCCATTTCCAGTGCCTAGCAATCTTGCTGTTGCTGAACGGAATCCACTACTAGCAGTGTAACCAGATGATGTTCCAGTCGGGGTTGAAGGAGCAGCTCTTTCCTTAAGCTGAGCTAGAGTTACCTGACAACGAAAAATTCCCAATTTCATCATTCGAA